CCCCCTGCTTCCCTTCCCTCCCCCTCCAGGCACAATCTCTTCCTTCACTCCGCCATTGTTCTCAGCAGCAAGCACGCAGTTTGGAGTCGTCTCAAACCCCCCTTCCCCCCCCTGCTCTTCTCTCGCCCTCACCTCCCTCCAACCATGCCTCCCACTTCCCCCCCCCCTCTCCCTCCCAGGCACAATCTCTACCTTCACTCCGCCATCGTTCTCAGCCGCAAGCACGCAGGCACCACGCGAGCTATCAGGGTAAACCACCCATGTTTATAGATTGAACCTTTCATGCTACTAGGGTGAACACCTATGTTAGCTAGTAAGGTAGTTACGCAGAGGGGAATTAAGGCAGATTACCGTTGCTTTATGCCGAAGCAATCAAGGATTCGAGGCATATATCACCCAGTACATATGTGCAAAATCTAGTTTTGAGGCGCCTCAACACAAGGCATATCACCCAGTAAATATGTGCAAAATCTAGTTTTGAGGCGCCTCAAACCTAGGCATATCACCCAGTATATATGTGCAAAATCCCGTTGCTCAACAGCGTTGGCATCAACGCTCGCTTGTCCCATCGCCCTGCCCCCACGCTACCAAACCCCTTCCCCTCCCCCTCTTCCCCCACCCCTTCCCTCACCCCTCAGACCGCCAGCTACTGCTCTCTATTAGAGCTCGCTCTGGCGCTGCTGATCAGCGTGATCATCAACGTGGCAATCACTGCTGCGGCAATGTGCCAATCATCAGCTCCTGCCCTGCCCCCTTCCTATCACCCCATCACACCGCTTCCCCCACCCCTCAGGCCGCGCGCCATTACTCTCTATTAGAGCTCGCTTCAGCGCTGCTAGTCAGCGTGTTCATCAACGTGGCAATCATTGCTGTGACCATCACTTCTGTGCCAATCATCAGCTTCTGTCCCTCTCCTATCACCCTCTGAACCGCTTCCCACCCCTCAGACCGCCAGCCATTACTCATTCTTAGAACTCTTCTTAGCGCTGCTGATCAGCGTCATGATCAACGTGGCAATCAGTGTGGCACTCATCAACACCTACTGTGCCTATCCTATCACCCTCTGAACCGCTTCCCACCCCTCAGACCGCCAGCCATTATTCCTTCTTAGAACTCTTCTTAGCGCTGCTGATCAGCGTAATGATCAACGTGGCAATCAGAAACGCCTGTTCCCTGACCCCTTTTCAATTGCACTCTCTAACCCCTCTCGCTTTCCACCCCTCAGACCGCCAGCCATTATTCCTTCTTGGAACTCTTCTTAGCGCTGCTGATCAGCGTAATGATCAACGTGGCAATCATTTCTGTGGCCGGCGCCGTCTGTCACTCCGCCAGTCTGCCGCCCGGCGCTGCTGAAGCGTGTGCCAACATCAGCATCAGCAACGCTTACGTGCTGCTCACGGTGAGGCTTATACAAGGGGTGAGGTGAAGGCAGAGTGTGTATCTTCAAGGATGTAAAAGAGGACTTTTGAGGCGCCTCAAAACTTTTGAGGCGACTTTTGAGGCGACTTTTGAGGCGACTTTTGAGGCGACTTTTGAGGCGCCTCAAAAGTGAAGGCAGAGTGTGTATCTTCAAGGATGTGTAATACGGAGTTGAGATCAACGTCAACACCAGCATCAGCATCAGCATGAGCATCAGCATCAGCATCAGCATCATCATCAGCATCAGCATCAGCATGAGCATCAGAATGAGCATCAGCATGAGCATGAGCATGAGCATCAGCATCAGCATCAGCATCAGCATATCAGCATCAGCATCAGCATCAGCATGAGCATATCAGCATCAGCATATCAGCATCAGCATCAGCATCAGCATCGGCATCAGCATCAGCATCAGCATATCAGCATCAGCATCAGCATCAGCATCAGCATATCAGCATCAGCATCAGCATCAGCATGAGCATATCAGCATCAGCATCAGCATCAGCATGAGCATATTAGCATCAGCGTCAGCATCAGCATCAGCATCAGCATCAGCATCAGCATGAGAATATCAGCATCAGCATCAGCATCAGCATCAGCATCAGCATGAGCATATCAGGCATCAGCATCAGCATCAGCATCAGCATGAGCATATCAGCATCAGCATCAGCATCAGCATCAGCATCAGCATGAGCATATCAGCATCAGCATCAGCATCAGCATCAGCATCAGCATATCAGCATCAGCATCAGCATCAGCATCAGCATGAGCATATCAGCATCAGCATCAGCACCAGCATCAGCATCAGCATCAGCATATCAGCATCAGCATCAGCATCAGCATGAGCATATCAGCATCAGCATCAGCATCAGCATCAGCATGAGCATATCAGCATCAGCATCAGCATCAGCATGAGCATATCAGCACCAGCATCAGCATCAGCATATCAGCATATCAGCATATCACCATCAGCATATCAGCATATCAGCATCAGCAACGAGCACATGCTGCCCACGGTGAAGCTTTAGTAGCAGATGGTGTGACAATAGGGCGTGTGCTTCTAACGGTGTGTAAGGAATGAATGAATGAATGAATGAATGAATGAATGAATGAATGAATGAATGAATGAATGAATGAATGAATGAATGAATGAATGAATGAATGAATGAATGAATGAATGAATGAATGAATGAATGAATGACAATATCATCTCCCTGTTCCCCATATCTTCGCCTCTCTGTCCCTCTCTCTACCTCAGGACGTGCTGGGAGGATGGGCAGGGACGCTGTTTGGAGTGGCGCTGCTGGCAGCAGGCCAGAGCAGCACGGTTACTGGGACCTACGCCGGGCAATACGTCATGCAGGTGGGGTTAGGCACTACGTCATACGGTTAAATCTCTTGCAGCGCCTCGAAAGGGGCTGGCAGCAGGGCAGAACAGCACGGTTACTGGGACCTACGCCGGGCAATACGTCATGCAGGTGGGGTGCGGAAATGGGGGCTAGGTAGTAGGTGATGCAACTGAAGTGCCTCAAAAGGCGCTGCTGGCAGCAGGGCAGAGCAGCACGGTCACCGGGACGTACGCCGGGCAATACGTGATGCAGGTGGGGTTTGGCAACAGGCAGGGCAGCACGTGGTGCAGGTGACTCCATCCATTATGCGGCTCCCTTACCTCTCCTCCCTCTTCCCTCCTTTTCTCCTCCCTTTCTCATCCCGTTCTCCTCCTCTCTTCTCCTCTCTACCATAACACAGCCTTCATTTCCACTTCCCCACCCTCACTCCCCCTTTCCCATCATCCTCATTACAGGGCTTCATCGAGCTCCGTATAAGCACATGGCTGCGTAACCTCATCACGCGCCTTATTGCCATCGTGCCAGCACTGCTCGTGGCTCTCCTCTTCGGAGCCCAGGGGGCCAGCCTCCTCATCATCCTCTGCTCGGTGAGAGAACACCGTCAATCAAAGTTAAAGCCCTTGTGCAATAGACTGCAAGCCTTGTCACACTTCCTTTGTTCTAGTTCAGGAGAACTGGCCTGGCCCCTAATGCGCAGTTTACTTTTGAGGCGCCTCAAAAGTAGGCTCCTAAGTTCACCAGCACCACTCGCGAAGAGGTCCTTCTTTCTATCCTGAAACCTCTTGGACCCATTTTCTGCGCCTCCCCTGTGCTTTCTCCCCTCATATCTCCACCCACCAGATTGTGTCATCATTTGGTCTGCCATTCGCCCTCATACCCCTGCTCAAGTTCACGAGCACCACTCTCAAGATGGGCATGTTCGCCACACACGCATGGGTAAGACTTGTGCCCCCGCTTTGCACTCCAATCCGCCATACCACACTCACCCCCCTCCTCTCCCTCTCTTCTTCCTCCGCTTCTCTGTTCCAATTCTTTGCTCACTCCCCCTCACTCTACCTCTCTCCCTCCCACTTCCAACACAAACCCACGTTCCCTTCCTTCCGTTTTCCACCGCCCATTCTTCCCACGAACTCCCCTCGTGAACCCCACTACCAGACAACCGTTGCCGCCTCCATTGTGGGTACTCTCATCATCCTAGCAAACGCCTCTCTCATAATCTGGACCTGCGTTGACTTGCTCTACCTCAACCCCTCCTCACCCACCTCCACCGAATCCAACCTCATCCGAATCCTCTTCACCGTTCTAGCATCCCTGCTTCTCCTCCTCTACCTCATCGCACTCACCCTCCTCGCCCTCCGCCCTATTTCTACCGCCACTTACCAGCCCACAAAAGACGAGCTTGCCAAAGCTGCTGCAGTGGCTAAAGCACATGACTTAGCCATAGACACTTACACTAATGGAGGCGCAGGTGGGGATGGCAAAGGTGGGGAGAGACGAGATTTGGAAGCCGGTTGGGGAGGAGACGGAGCAGGTGCAGTGCGGTTGGAGGGAGCAGCTGCAGCATCGGCAGAAGCAGCAGAATCGGCAGCAGCGGCGGCAGCGGCTGGGGAAGCAGCAGCAGAGGCGGCAGAGGCAGCAGCCGCGGCAGCTGCTGCCTCTGCTTTGGCCCGGGTTAAAGCTTCTCTGGCTGCTGGTTCCAGTGGGTCTCCTGGTGGTCCCAGTGCGTGTACTGGAGGTTCTGGTGTCAGTGATGCTCGTGATGGTTCCAGTGCCGGTGATGCTGCTGCTGGAGCTGCAGCTGCTTCGTTTTCTGCCTCGGAACCTACCAATGTTCCGGCGGGTGCGGCTACTGAAGCTAGCCTCAACGACTGGTTGAAAGACGCGGAAAGCGGTCCTTGAAAGGGGGAAATAAATAATACAGGAATGCCCAAGAAATAAATGTTGGGAACGTTGGGCTGTAAGTAGGGAGTTTTGAGACATTCTCAAAGCATGAAAACAAGTTATTTATAAGCAGGACATGTTTACATACCGGTACCCTTTTAGCTGGTGTCCAATGTTAGCCATACACATACACTCCACAGTCAGCAAATTAATGAATAGTAGTCAATATGAATTGAACAAAAACAAATGATTACTACCGTGGATACCCAGTAGCCATAAGCCGAGCAAAAATAAATGAATAAAATAAAGAATGAATATAGCAAAAAAATGAATGAATACTTGATATGAGTGTTACGCATAGGAACACGGCGCAACCAAGTCTATGTGTGGGAACGCTCGTTGAAGAGCATTCAACGCAGAGGAGAAGAATAGACGCCCTGCAATAAACTTCTGCCTGGCATCACTGACCATATGCGTTACCATAGGAGAGAAACTGGAATTCAGCCTGGTACAAGCAGTTAACTCCTCCAAATCCTCCTCTCTTTCCTCCCTGTTCCACTCTTCCTCAGACCCTTCATCCTCAGACTCTTCCATCCCCTCTTGATTCTCCTCGTCATACTGAATCTCACTTCCATCATCACTGCACTCATCATCTCCTCCTCCTCCTCCACCTCTTCCTCATCCTCCTCCTCGTCCTCATCTTCCTCCTCCTCCTCATCCTCCATACACACCACCTCCACACTCTTCAAACTACCCGCACATTGCCGCATAAACGCACCAATCCAAAGCAGGGTAGCCCCGCTCCTTCCCTGAAGCTTCACAGAAAGATTCTCCAGCTGGCTCGGCCAAGCTCTCACATCATCCGGATTCATCACCCGACCCACCGTCACCCAGTCCTCTGCCGAACCTCCCGCGTCCGAACCCGACCCAGGAGACCAACCGGGAGCGGTGATGCAACCGCCGCGGATAAGGCATTCCCAAGGTAGAGGCCCTAGGGAAAGCGAGGAGAGATTAGGGCAATGACCAGTTAGCCAATCCAAATTCAGCAGATCGAGACTTCCGCTTCCGCTCCCGCTTCCGTTTCCCCGCGTCCCGTCAAGACCGTCGCCGCGCGCCGCCGCCTCCCGCGGGGGATCGGTCGGGACAGCGCTGCGCGGCGGCGGTGCGCCGGAGCCGCCGCATTCGACGGTGAAGAGATCCAGCGCGAGGTGCTTGAGCGACGCGCCCGCGCCTGCGACGAGCGACTCGAGCGACGGCCAGTGCACGCTTCCCGCGCGGACCTCGAGCGACGCGAGTGTGGCGGAAGCGGGCGCGGAGAGGCGCAGCGCGGAGGCAGTGGCGACGGAGAGAGACTGGAGCGCGCGCGCGTTGGGGAGGGAGAGCGCCGTGAGGAACATGTCTCGCACCGACACCTCGCGGAGGCCGCCGCTTCCGCTTCCGCTTCTGCCGCCGCCGCTTCCGCTTCCGCTTCCGCCGCCGCCGCTTCCGCTTCCGCTTCCGCCGCCGCCGCCGCCGTTGCTGCCGCGCACGCTCTTGTCCTCGATACAGGCGGCAGCCTCGCTGCAGATAAGTGTGACGGCGGAGACGCGCAAATAAGCCAGCTCAATATACTCCAATCGCGGGGGCAGGCGCAAGCACAGCCCCGCGCGCTGTCCCGCCGCCGCGGAGGAAGCTGCTGGCCGCGCGCCGCCGCCGGCGGCTTGTAGGGCAGCGTTATAGCCGGCGCCGGCGGGATAGGAGGCGGCTTGCGCAGCGAGACCCGCCGCCATGAAGACGGAGAGGTGGCGGAGGTTGGGACACGTGTCGAGCAGCGATTGGAGCGTGGAACCGGACAGGTTGGTCCACTCAAGGGAAAGCGTGCGCAGATGCGGAAAGACGGAGTATCCGCGGGGGAAATGCGGCGGGAGGGTGAACGAGCCGAGGCGCATCGAGGAGAGGTTGGGACAATGGGACGCGAGATGCTGGAGATGGGAGCTCAGGTCGGGACCACCCGCGTAAACCGTGCAGCTGGGAACGTCGGAGCCGCCTCCAGCGGCTGACGTGGCAGAGTATCCGGCGGCAGTAATGACGGCCTTGTGCTGCGTGAAGGTGACGTGGCGGAGGGAGGTGCCAGCGTGGCGGGCCCACGCCTCGACGATGAACTCGCGGGGATGCGCGCCGCTGCTGGCGCCGCTGACGCTGACGCTGCCGCTGCCGTGACTCACGCCGCTGCCGTGACTCACGCCGCCATTCACGGTCTCCACGTGGAGAGACGACAGGCCGTGCGAGCGCATCACCATACGCGACACCACCTCTTCGATTTTCGCAGCAGGGAGTGAGAGGCGGGCGAAGGAGAGCGACGGGACGAACGGCACAAGGCGGCGCCATCGACGGCAGACCGCGCCGGCCGCTGCCACGTGTCGCGCAGAGCCAACCGCGGCGAGGATACTGACCAGAACGTCGTCGGGTAACTCGTCCAGCAAGCAGTCATGGCTCGCGCCTGTAGCAAGTGGTTCATCTGCAGATGAAATCATAGTAGCCGCGCTGCCGATGCTGCCGATGCTGCTGCTGAAAGATTCCGAATCTGCGTCTGAAATCTCAATCGTGTCTTCTTCGTCTGAGGCGGCGGAAAACGCGGCAGGCGTCGACGCGGAGAGGGGCAGATGAAACTCCCCGAGGGAATGGCGGCGCGGTTGTAGTCGGCGAGAAACGGCGGCGGCGGCGGTGGAGCCAGCCGCGGAGTTAGCGGCACCATTTGAGGCTGAGCGGCTGAAGGTAGTAGTACCCGTAGTTCCCGCCTCGGTGGCTATGGCGGATGCGGCGCCGGCGGCATGACTCGCGCGTCGCCGCGCTGCGGCCAGTACATAATCCTCTCGTGTGAGGCCCTTCGCGCCGCGCAAAACTTGCTCGTTTGCGGCGGGTCCCACCGCGACTCCGAGCCGCGTTGTAGCAGCGCCATCATTGCTATCAGCCTGAGAGCCTTGAAACGTAGCCATGGCGTAGTAATGACCCCCTCCGAGTCGGCGGTTGTCTCGAGATCTCCGCGATTGAGAGTAAGCGGAAGGCGGAAGAGGAAGCGGAAGCAGAGGAGGACTCGCCGGGGAGGTTGACAAAACGGCTTCCAAAAGTGCGAGCGGCCGAGGTGCGAGTAGCACCGTGTAAGCTGCAACGTGTGAAGCTGCAGAAGATGAAACTACTGGGTTTCAGCAACAGTGATATAGTAACTAGTACTTCTAGCGGTGGTTTCGCTCCGAGCGAGTAGTCCACTACTACGACTAGTCCTTCCGCGGCGATGTCGATGCCATGATGATCATGTAGATGATCGTATGTGGTGCTGCGAGAGGTTGCGAAACTAGTAGTAGAACGCCGCATCGTGTACGTGTACGTTCCTTGCGGGTAAGTGCGTTAGATATTACGCTTCAAGGATTTGATTGCATGCCCCGGGACTCTCGTAAGTGCGTTAGATATTACTACTACGTTCGGTCGGAACGGCGGCTCCCGAGTCGTCGAGTGCCAAATCTTGGCCAGATTCAAACGGTTTGAACGCCAAGTCCGTCCTTGAGCTGAGCTACTACTTATAAACGCCAGCGTTGAATGCAAGTGCCTCCTTTGCGGCGCTCCTGCGGGCTCACGGTGACCATCCACGCATATTGCGTGCGGTGCGACTAGGTCCAGGCGAGCGAACGCGGGATTGACGTTGCCTTGAAAGACGGCTGCTTTCGCGATCACCGTGCGGAGAGAGTGTGCGCCATTCATTTCTCTACGCAAAATCGGGAAATTCGTGGTGCCTGTACACTGTTCAGAGTTTGCGTGACACATGTTCGGTGAAGAATCGTCTCTCTGGGAGCGTTTGTTCTCCTCACCCCGCTAAGGCAGTAGTGCTGCCTTTGTTGTTGCAGCCAACCTGTGTGGGAGCCTCGAAGGACGTCGTCGTGAGGGAGGAGCGTCCCTCCCAGACCCCTACCCAACGTGAACCAGCTCTTTGAGCCACCTTCAGACAAACCGTTAATGCTGTATGCGGTGTCTAACAGCGGCGGTGTAGTTCTACAGACCGAACTGTCAGATAAGAAAAAAATTACACTCTATCCCAAATAATGGTGTACTGTCTGAACTGTGCACCCTCGGGTTTCATGAGATCCAAATGGATATGGACTCGTGCAAGTGAACGTCGAAATCTACAGCACAGTACGATGCAGGTCGTAGGATTTGATTGCTGGGGGTGGTGGTCACAGCACAACTTGCAAATATTCCAAACATTAATGGATTTTGGTGAGAGGCCGAGCTCACCACGTGTTACTGTTGCGGGTCACGAGGCTGTATCGAACCTTCGTGGAAGGCAGTCCGATAAACAAATGCCGAACATGGCGCCCAGGTTCTAGGCCTCCCCCGTACAGTATCAACCTGTTGCGCATAGCTCCTCGAGTGGTCCCACAAACAGACTCTGCACTGCGTCGTTCACCCAACAACTAAACCAGTCACCTCACCCTCTCATTGGACAGAACCCTCGCTCGGCAGCGATTTTGCGTGCCACGTAGGTCTACAGTACGTTGTTAATGCGCAGCCATAAATGGGCATTCAATGCTCATACACCTGGTGCATGTTATTTTCATAGCGCGAACACGGCTATCAGCATATCCTGATTGCAGCCACTTCTTCACATTGAATATATATGACCAGCTGTAAGGAGTGCAATCTAAAGAGCGAAGCAAAGATTGCACTAATTTGTCAAGGTATTACAATGGGAGCGAAGGCATGAGACAAATTTATTTGCGAAAAAATAAACAGGTAATGGAAACGGTAATGGATATATAAAAGCTCAATACATGTGTGCTGTGCAGCTTGATCTCCCCAACATCAAAGCATGTGCCTTCAAAACAGGATATAAACAGATGAAGAGCGTTCAACTTGGGCATTGGACAGGAGATCTAAAAGGTTTTGTGCGGTGGGGAGGTCCTTCTGCTCCAGGCACGCCTTATTTGTTTTTTCCCAAATGCCTTCCACTAGAAAAAAAAAACCCCGCGATTCTCAAAGGCATGTGAGCTGCACCACGCACAGCAGACAGGGAGGCAGGGGTACAGAAGAGGGCGGTGGTAGCTGTTTTTCTCGAGAGGAAAAGTCGACTAGAAGAGGGAAGGGCTGGTTGGAGGGACATGCTTTGCATGAAATGACTCAATCAAAAGGCAGGAGTCAGAGCAGGTGGTGTTAGTAAGTGCTTCCCATGAAAGCAAGTGCCGTAAAGCAGCAGGCAGGAGGTCAAGCGGTTTTTGTTAGTGAGTGCTTCCCATGAAAGCGGGAAGAGGGTGCAGCAAGGCGGGTGCTGCTGCTTCCCGTGGAAGCGGGTGCGGTGCTGTAAAGCAGCAGGCAGGAGGTCACGCGGGAAGAGGCGCGTGCTGCAGCAGCCACGCTCTCATATCCGCCAGCTCTTCACCGCACATTGCATGTGCCAGGCTGTAGGGCAACAGGGAGAAAGAGAGAGACAGAATAGAATGTTGGGGATAGTCAAGAGAGGTCACGCGGGAAGAGGCGTGTGCTGCAGCAGCCACGCTCTCATATCCGCCAGCTCCTCACCGCACATTGCATGTGCCAGGCTGTAGGGCAACAGGGAGAAAGAGAGAGACAGAATAGAATGTTGGGGATAGTCAAGAGAGGTCACGCGGGAAGAGGGGCGTGCTGCAGCAGCCACGCTCTCATGTCCGCCAGCTCCTCACGGCACATGGCGTGTGCCAGGCTGTAGGTAGGGCAACGGGGAAGGCACCGACGAGCGTTTTTTGAGACATACTCTATATGGGGTTGTGTTTTGACTCGACTCAAAGCGAGAGATACTGTATCTGGGGTTCAATCGGACATATCCGCCAGCTCCTCATGGCACATGGCGTGTGCCAGGCTGTAGGGCAATGGGGAAGGAACCAAGAAGAGTTTTTCAGACACACTGTATCTGGGGTTCTGTTTTGAGTCGGCTCAAAGCGAGACATACTGTAACTGGGTTGTATCTGGGGTTCAATTGGACATATCCGCCAGCACCTCATGGCACATGGCGTACGCCAGGCTGTAGTTCAGCAGGGGAAACACAAACCAAGTAACTACAGCGTATTGCACACTAACATATCCTCACCAGGGGTATGAGTTGAAGGCGAGGCTGGAGTAGCTTCACCAGGTATGGTGCCTGAGTGGACCAGACCTTTATCCCCTAAACCAGTCACACCACATGTGGTGTGGGGTATTGCACACTAACACAATCTCACCGGGGATACGAGTTGAAGGTGAGGTTGGAGAAGCCAGGAGGGTATGGCGCCTGGCTTGACTCAACTATCATCCCCTAAACCAAATGTTTCATTCACAGTATCAGAATCTTACTGGGGATACGAGTTGAAGGTGAGGTTGGAGAAGCCAGGAGGGTATGGCGCCTGGCTTGACTCAACTATCATCCCCTAAACCAAATGTTTCATTCACAGTACCAGAATCTTACTGGGGATACGAGTTGAAGGTGAGGTTGGAGAAGCCAGGAGGGTATGGCGCCTGGCTTGACTCAACTATCATCCCCTAAACCAAATGTTTCATTCACAGTACCAGAATCTTACTGGGGATACGAGTTGAAGGTGAGGTTGGAGAAGCCAGGAGGGTATGGCGCCTGGCTTGACTCAACTATCATCCCCTAAACCAAATGTTTCATTCACAGTACCAGAATCTTACTGGGGATACGAGTTGAAGGTGAGGTTGGAGAAGGCAGGAGGGTATGGTGCCTGGCTTGCCTGTGTGGATACTCAGTAACACAATCTTACTGGGGATACGAGTTGAAGGTGAGGTTGGAGAAGCCAGCATTGCGCAGCAGGTCAGAGCTGGCCCTGCCCAAGGCGTAGCCAATGAGGGGGTCAACTGCACACGCACACGCACACGCACACGCACACGCACGCCCACACGCACACGCACACGCACACGTACGAAATGGAGCCAGCACAGGGAGCAGGTCAGAGCAGGTCAGAGCAGGTCAGAGCAGGTCAAAGCAGGTCAGAGCAGGTCAAAGCAGGTCAGAGCAGGTCAGAGCAGGTCAGAGCAGTCCCTGCCCCAGGCGTAGCTCACGAGGGGGTCAACTGCACACGTCAGCACACGAAAGAAGTCAACGAGATGATTTTTTGGTCCACTCAAAAGTCACCTTGTGAGTCAACAGTCAATGCAAAAGTCATCTCGTAGTCCTTGCCCCAGCCAAGTCACAAAAGGCGGCACAAAAGGCACGTGAAAAAAGGGTATTTTTGAGACGTCTCAAAAGTCATCTCGTAGCCCTTGCCCCAGCCAAGACACAAAAGGCGGCACAAAAGCTAGTAGCACACAATAGAAGGGAAATTGTCCAACCACCCATCCGTCCTATTTACTCAGGCGACGGCTTGGAAGGGATGTTCCTAAAGCGCATGCCACCTTCCCTTCCCTTCCCCTCCCCTCCCCTCCCCTCCATACAGTACCTTCCCCATGCATCATTAGCAGCGGATGCTTGGCATCCCTCCCTGAAACTGTTTCTTTGATCGATTATAGAATGTCCCCATAACACACATGCCACCCTCCACTCCCGCACAGTCCATGAGTCATGAACAGAGGATGCCTCGCAGTGACTTTTGAGTCGACTCAAAAGTCCCGCACAGTCCATGAGTCATGAACAGAGGATGCCTCGCAGTGACTTTTGAGTCGACTCAAAAGTCCCGCACAGTCCATGCGTCATGAACAGAGGATGCCTCGCAGTGACTTTTTGAGTCGACTCAAAAGTCCCGCACAGTCCATGCGTCATGAACAGAGGATGCCTCGCAGCCCTCTCTGCAACAGCTGTGATTAAGTTGACTTAAAAAAGTTAATGCCACGAATACAGGATGCCACCCCCCCCCCCACCGCACCTTCCCCGTGTGCCATGAATACAGGATGCCTTGCAGCTCTCTCTGCAACAGATGCATCCGTTTCTCCGGGTGCCGGAATCAGACTGTGGACGTGGGGGAGGAATAGGAGAGGAAAGGGG